AGTTATGGCACTGCGCACATCGCGTGTGGGCGTTGGTCGGGGTTGTGTGATAGCGTCTTTGAGTCCTCCTCCTTTTCTTGCTTGTGTTACAGTTGGGTTGACCGCAACGTTCAGTTACATTAGTTGGTTTTTTGATGTAGATTGAGGCTTGTTCTCGCACTTGTCTTCTCTTGTCGCTGTTGTACCTGTGTGTGTGTATGTGTGTGTGTGTTGTACGTGTCTTCTTCAACACACACACACACACACACACACACACACACACACACACACACACACACACACACACACACACACACACACACACACGCACGCACGCACGCACGCACGCACGCACGCACAAACACCATCATCGCCGCACCAGTAAACGAGCTGTAGACGACAACATAAATTGTAGTGGTGGTTGGGGGGACAACAACAGACAGCAACAACAACACAACACAGCCGATACAAAAACGACATCGCAACACAACACCACACACGCACATTCCACGTAAACGCACACACGAGATCGCTTTCGTTCCCGTAGCCGCCCTTCAATCCAGCAGCAGCAGCAACAGCAGCAGCGACAGTCATCGCCGTAAGCGCACGGGCGTTCGTCACCATCGCTGCATCTACCGCTCGTGTGCATACACCACGTCTCATCACATCTCCACCGCATCGTAAGCGGGAGAAAAGAAAAAAAAAAAACTTATTGCCTCGTGCTTGCACACACTGTTCCCACACACTCATCGCCTTCTCTTCACTGTCACGCAGCATACCTGCGTGCATGCTAGGCTGGGCGCGCTAACTGCCCCGGATGCATGTTGTGATCCTCTCCCACTTCCTCTCTGCCAAGACATCTCCTCTCCTTCCTCCTTCCCCCTCCCTCCTCCTCCTCCTCCTCTTCTTCTTCTTGTGTCCATCCAACCCTCAACCCACAACATCATCATCACCATCATCATCACCGGCTCATACGTCTCCACTTGCCTTGCTTCCTCCCTTGCCCAAACACACACACACACACACACACACATACACACACCCCAATCACGCAACAGACCAAGCGAGCAGGGGTAGATCGGCAGGCAAGACGTGCATTTGGTCTGCTTGGCTGTGCGGTGCTTAGAGATCACCAGCCGTGCGGCTGTCCTTGCTTCAGCGCTGCTGTTGCACCCACACTCGCGCGGTCGCCACCATGGATGCGTGGGCACGATCACGTGCAGTGCCATCCCCGACAACCAACACCACGTACCGCAGGCGGAGGTTCCAGACGCCATCGCCACTGCTGCACTCCATCCCACATGGCTCACAGCGTCGCGCGGTGTCGCCCGTACCGGCCGTGTCGCCTCTGCCGCGCGGCCCACCCTCCATCTCCCCATCAGCACGGAAGCCGCCGCCCCAGCAGCAGCAGCAGCGCGCCCGCACACCGTCATCACGGCCCAGCAGCCGCTTCGGTCTCTCCGCTGATGTCCCCGCATGGACATCAAGACCACGCTCCCTGTCGTCGTCAGAACAGCGCTCCCTCGGGATGGCAGTGCAGGGCACAGGCCGCCGCGCCCCCTCCGCCACACCCACGCTGTCCCCGCCATCGTCTTCAAGCACAACTGCAGTATTGTCTGGCACCCCGACTCCAGGCGACGACGTGTTCGAAAGCTCGCGCCCACCACCATCGCCATCGTCCTCCTTCTCACCGCACTCCTGGAGTGTCCGATCCACCAAGACATCCACCACCACAACCACCACCACCACCACGCCAGCAACAGCGCAGCCACAGCCCTACCCATCCCACCACCACGGCAGTGGAACCACAGCAGCGTCCCTCCTGGACCTCACACACCACTCGCCGGCATCGGCAGCGTCGACACCGTCGTCGCGCAGCAGCTTTGGTGGTGATCGCACGCCATTGTGCCGACCAACCAGCCCGCGCAGTGACGCACCACGCTGCTCCCTCAACGCAACGACAAGTGCTGGCACATCGTCCACAACCACGACCACAACAACCACAACAGCGTATGGCGGTGTTGGTTCGCGATCACAGCAAGCTGCCACCACGCCGCCAACCTCGCCTCTGAAGCAGTTCTTTGACAGCCCCTGGTCGAGTGCAAACACACGCGATGGCACGGCGACGATGCGCCCAACACCCCGCGGGCCGCGGCAGCAGCGGCCGCCATCAGGCAAGAAGCTGTTGCCGCTGCCGCCAAATGCAGCTCGCTCGCCCAAGATCACGCGCAAGGCAACGTCGCCCATGCAGCCGTGGAACCGCCCAGCACCCATCGTACTTGGACCCGTGAACACGCAGGCCGGTGATGGTGGTGAGGCAGGCGATGGTGGTGGTGGTGAAACTTGTGAGCAGAGCGTGCATGGAAAGGGTGAGTGCACGACCAGCAAAGATGGTGTTGACGATGATAGTGACGATGATGGTGGTGGGGGTGGTGGGGGTGATGATAAGGGTGCCGTACACGGCGGGCGCGAGCGCAGTAGCTGCAGCCATGAGCAGGACGCCGCCACTGCGGATGCGAACGAGAGTGGAGTCGATGGCAACAGAACCACAACCCGCACCCTCCGTATCCACAACAGGAGCGTTCGCATGGTGAGACAAAAGGCATTGAGGTTCAATCCAGACGAAGACGAAGACGACGATGGTGATCACGATCACGATGACGTGAGCGGGAATTCGCACACCACAACAGGCAGTACAGGGCATGCGCGCACCAACACAACGCCTGGTGGTGCCCCAGATCAACAACGACAGCAGCAGCAGCAGCAGCAGCAGCAGGTGACGCCGTCACCGCCGTCTGACGCAAAACCGCGGACCCGTCGACCCCTTCGACGTCAGCACTCGTCACCAGCACTCATCGACTCAGTGCGTGCGTGTGTGTCTGTGTGTATGTGTGTCTGTGTCTGTGTCTGTGTATTGGGGGAGTACGTGTGTGTGGTGTGTGTGTGTGTGTGTGTTGGGGGGAGTACGTGTGTGTGTGCGTGTGTGTGTGTGTTTATGTGACAACTTGGCGCCTTCGCAATCATGGTCGACATACTTCTCATCCCACACCATTGACTCACATCACATCACCTGTGATAATCGTCACACACACACACGCGTATACATCGCACACATTTTCACATCTATCTGCGCGTGCATCCGGTTTCCTTGCGCGCGCGTGTGTGAGGCTGACGAGAAGACCACAGCCGCGAAGTCGCCGTCCGCATCAAGCACAGCGTCATCGTCATCATCGTCACCATCAAAGCCACCACGACCGCTGATTGGCGTGTGCTCGATGGCTGGCGGCATTGCTGGTGTTGCAAAGGAGAACCAGGACAGCTACTTTGTTCTCGAAAACCCAACACAGGTGCCCACATGCATTTTGTGTGTGTGTGTGTCTGTGTCTGCGTCTGCGTTGTGTGTTTGTGTGTCTGTGATTTCTACTTGATCACAACTGTCTTTGTTTGTTCCTCCACTACTATTCACCACCACCACCACCACCACCACCACCACCACCACCACCACCACCACGTGCAGGCGAGCGATTTCGTGGTTGGTGTTCTGGACGGCCACGGTGTTCATGGGGAAAAGGCGTCCGGTTTCGTCAGGAAAGCGTTTCCCGCGCGGTTGCTGCGTCGTGACATCACGCTCACGCCAAGCACCGCCCTCAAGGACACTGTATTGGAGACGGCAAAAGCGCTCGACAGGGCTGGATTCAGTGTCCGCGAGTCTGGAACAACAGCGGTGACTGTGCTGAAACATGGGAAATTCCTCCACATTGCGAATGTCGGCGATTCCCGCGCTGTTGTCGGGCAGCGGCGCAGCAAAGGCGGCACCACCACCATCGCCGCCGTTTCCCTCACCCGCGACCACAAACCAAGCGACCGGGCAGAGCTGCTGCGTGTGCAGCGGGCGGGCGGTGTTGTGGAGCCCTCGTTTGTACCTGGCATGGGGTACCAGGGGCCCATGCGCGTGTGGAAGAAGCGGCAGCAGCTGGGCGGTCTTGCCCTCTCGCGTTCCATCGGTGACACCGCGCTCGCAACCGCTGGCGTCATTCCCGTACCGGACGTCCTGCAGCGGGTGAGCGACGCGTTCGGTGGTGGTGGTTGTGGCGGGGGGGGGGGGTAGATGGTTGTTGATGAGTGAATGGGTGGGTGCAGAGAGGAAGGCGAGTGCGAGAGAAGCGGCAATGTGTCTGTGTGTCTGTGTGTGTGTGTGTGTGTGTGTGTTCTGTCTTGTTGGCTGCTTGTTTTATTGTCTTCTCCCAGGCCCTCTTGGGTCTCGTGCTTCTTTGTGTCGTTGTGCCCCAGCCGCTGCTCACCACACACACACACATACACACACGTGTACACATGTGTGCTTGCGTGTATGTGCAGGAGTTGACATCGCACGACGAAGTGCTGGTGTTGGGCAGCGACGGGGTGTTCGACCACTTGTCAAACAACCAGGTGCGTGTGTGCAGTAATCGTGCCCAGCATGCACCCACAACATCGCTGGCACAAGCACACAAACACGTGCGCAAATACACACACCCACACACACACACACACACACACACACACACACACACACACACACACACACACACACACACACACACACACACACACACTTACACAAGCACACACACTCACACACACTCTCACTCACACTCACACACGCACACACACACACACGCACACACACACACTCACCCGCGTACAACACCCCTCCTTCTTCTCAAACGATACCTGCCGTGCTCCAGGTTGTGCAAATTGCTGCTCGCTTCGGCGATCCGCAGCGTGCGGCCGAGGCGGTGGTGAAGGAGGCGCGCAGGAAGTGGACGGAGGAAGGGGGAGGATACATTGACGATGTGACGGCGCTCGTGGTGATGCTGAACCCCTCCCACCAGCAGATGCAGCAGCAGCAGCAGTCGCAACAGCAGCAACAGCGGCATCAACATCACCAGCAGCCACGGAGCCCGCGCTCGCCCCGCCGCGGCCCACTGCACGGCCACCACCGCCACTCACACAGGCAACGCCGTCGCAAACCAACCATCCCACACTGACGCTGCCTGCTGATGCTGGCTTGTTGGCTGTCTGGCTGTTCAGCTGACAAGTGTTCGTGTCTCCCTCCTTCATTCCCTGGTTCACACCCTCTTTTCCTTCACCACCACGATTGCCTCCACCACCGCCTCCTCCTGCTGCTGCCACTGCTGCACGCTGTCTTTGTTTTTGCTTGCGACGTGCTGTTATTCGACCCAGACAACTGCTCTGAATGCACTCTTCCCTCTTTGTTAACGTATGCATTAATTCTCTTTCTTCTTCTTCTCTTTCTTCTTCCTCTGCTCTGCATGTAATGATTGATGGTGATGACGGTACGTAATGCTGGTTGCAGCATGACTCTCTTCACCGGTCAACACTGCTTGCTTGCATGCACTTAATCCACAAATTAATTTTTCATTCCGCTGCATGCGTGCTTCCCTTACTTGATGGTGTATTTACATTGCATTCGTCGTTCAGTTTGTTCGCTGTTCTTCGTCTCTCTCTGCTCTTGCCATTTCTTCGCGTTACTTGCTCAACCATTCAGACAGGCTGGCTTGTCTCGCATGCAAGCTATGACGTCACAACGTTACGTTAAACCACGCACCAGAGACGAAGAACAGCAAACGGTCTGAATCACGCACGCACATGCATACACACACACACACACAAAACACACACATACGCACACACACGCACGCACACGCACACACCGTTGTTGTGGCTTGCTGCTTCATCCACACATGTGTGCGCTTCTCTATGTCTTTATATTTTGTTGGGAGAACTCAGGGCAACACAAGAAATGGGACGTGCTGGCTGCGTCACAGACACTGAACTTTTCACGCATGTGCACACGCGCAGGTGGCCACGCAGGTGTTAACGAGACACAAAAGAGGCTACCACCAGCAGTGATGACAAGACACTTGCAACACGAAACACGAAACACAAGCAGCGGGCATAACGCAGAGGGATGAAAGAAGCTAGTGATTGATGTCAGAAGACCCGTGGAAGAAGAAAAAAAATCAAATCACCAAAATTAAAAGCAATTCAACTCTGGGTGTGGGTGGGGGGGGGGCAAAGGCAATCATCCTCAATGAAAGCATGCATGCTTTGACAAGCCAACAACCGACTGGCTGCTGTGTGCATGCACTCGTTGTGGAGGAAAGACGAGATCAGGAAGAAGAACAATATCTTGAACAAAACACGCCACACGTACACGCAACTCCACCAAGTGTGCACGCGCAACTACACATACTAACAAGAGGAACACCGTTGCAGTTACTACACGCTCATACGCCCATACACACGCGCGCGCACACATTGTCGCGCACAGCATGCACAACGCTGTTTCCGTGTGTTCACATGATGTGAATGTCAAAGTTGGAGCGGAGGGCGCGTCCGATTTCCCTGTAGATCATGGCTTGCGTCATGACCACCACCGTGGCCACTGCCGTCGCCTGCACAACTTGCTGCCGCCACTCTTCCTCGGGCAATTGCTTGCGCAACGACACCATCTTGCGCTGTCGGTTCAGCGCCTTCAGCAGCAGCACAAGCGGCGCCGTGATGATGGCGGAGAGAATGACAAACTCGCCCACGCCCTTGAGATAGCGCAGCTGTGCCTTGTCGTCCAGCGAGCCCATGAAGCAGAGCGCAAGCACCAGACCCGCCAGCATCATGAACATGGCTGTGCCAAACGCCAACCGCCTGTACTTGACCATCTGCCGGTGCAGCTTCTGAATCTCCTCCTCAGTCATGCTCTCCTCCTCCCTGTCCGTCACCTGCGGTTTGACCACGGCGACAACGTTGTCATCCAGCTCGCCAACGACAACATCGTCGGCGCACGGCAACCCGTCGTCATCAACAGCCATCGCAGCGTCACCGTCACCATCACTGCTGTCGTCGCTGTCGCTGTTGTGGTCCATCGCAAGATGGTCAAAGGCAGCGCGATCAAGCTTGGTGCCAAACGTGCTGAACACGGGGTTGAACCCCTTTGGCATCTCCACGCGCACGGGCCCGACTGGGCGAGCCATGGCCGAGGAAGACGCAAACGGCGACGGCTGGTGGTAGTGGTGGCACAGCGGGGGTGGCGTGGCTCGCGCTGACCCAGGCTGTGAAGACGGCTTTGATCGCGTTGCTTTCGCTCCAGGCACAAGCGAGTTGTTCGAGTTGGCGGTGGTAAGGTTCGCCATGGACTTGGAATTCCCACCACCAGCTGTAGTGCCGTTGCGTTTGCCGGTGTGGTCGTTGCTGTTGCTCGTGATGGCGTTTGCAACAAACACGTTTGCCACCCTGTCGTCGTTGGTGTTGCCGCCGCTGTTGGCAGAAACATGGCGGCTCAGCGCAGAGCGTCCACGACGACTCACAGTCGCGGGCACGCTCTGGCTCCCGTTGTGTTCGCCATGGCTGCCGCTGCTACCACCGTTGCTGGTGGTGGTGGTGGTGATGGTGGTGATAGCTTGGCCGGGCAGCAGCGATGACGATGATGATGACGATGATGACGACGATGACGATGACGATGGGCCTACGGATGCTGCATTGGCTCCCGGTACCCTGTCGTTGCGGCGTGGACGAGGGAAGGCGGATGCAAACGGGGGCAGTGTGCCACGGTTGCTGTGCAGCGATGCGTTCACAGACGCGTCATTGAGGCTGTGCGCTCCGGAATCATTGCCATCACGCTCGCCCTTCCCAACACCATCACTGTCATCATCGCCCTCGCTGCTGGAGCTGTTGTGCCTCACCCAGCCTTCGTCGTCGTCACCGTAACCACCACCACCACCACCGCTACCGCGGCCCTTGTACGCTGCGTTGGTCTGGAACGCCGTCACGCCAACACCACCGCTGCTGCTATCACGCTGCGTGCCGGCCGCTTCTGCCGTGTTGACAAACGCGCCTGCATCTGGGGGCGCAATGAGCTTGTGCTCAAGCACAAACCCAATGTCGTCCTCGTTGAGGTGGTGCGGGTCAATAAAGTACTTGCCTGTGATGGCCGGGTCGCGCGTGGCCAGGACAGCGTGGTTGCGGTAGCGGTCGGGGGCAACGCGGCGCAGCGTGTCAATGAGGACCGTGTACTTTGCCATGAAGATGGTCAGCGCAATGAGCACGGGGAAGCTCATGAGAAACACGTACACGCCCTCCAGCGGCAGGTAGGTTGTCTTGCCGTTGATGGTGATGCGGAACGTGTTGACCTGCTCGTCGGGGTACTGCGTGGCCGTGTAGGCGAAGATGGCCATCATGCCAAACGTCAGCGATGTCGTAGCAACAAGCGCCGTCACCTTGCTCGCACGCTTCGGGTACACGTGCAGGCCAGAAAACCACACCACGGCCAGCCAGTTGTGCTTGGTCTTGAGGTTGTACCAGAACCGGGCAAAGAAGCCGCGCATCATGCCCATCTCCGCCCACTGGAAGTCGAGCTCGCGCTCCGTGAGCTGCCTGTCGCCATCATCCCATATCACGCCCTCCTCCACCAGCGCCTGACGCCTGTCGTACGCACGCCGCTCCAGCCACGCAAACACATACGCGAAGATGACAAACCCGTAGAAGCCCGCAAACACGGCGTAGATGTAGCGGGCGTTGCGCGGGTCGAAGTTTGCAATGGTGACCTTTGGCGCGGCAATGCGAAAGTCGATGCCAGCGGAAAAGGTGGAGAGATGGGTGGTGCGGCACACAATGATCTCGTCTGTGCTCAACTCTGGCACGAGCATGACGCCACGCGTATCCCAGTCGCCGAGGCAGGGGTCGCTGCTGCCGGTGGCGTTGGAGGTGCAGTTCAGGCGCGGGAGGGTGGCGTTCCAGAAGCGGCACACCGTCTCGTTGAGCGGGGTGCCGTCGCTTGGAATGGAAATGTCAATGGGGGTGGGCAGGTCGGCCACGCTCACAGTCATGCCATCCACCTTGAGCGAAAAGTCGAGCACGTTGGCGCGCGTGGTGTTGTCGGCTGTTGTCTCGTCAAACACCGTCATGAGCACGCTCACAGACGCCGCAGTGGCCAGGCCAGGCACGTCATTGACAACCGTTGGCGGCAGCGACACGCGCGGGAAGGGGCGGGTGCCGACTGTAGTGGAGAGGCCGGCGAGGTTGGAGACGTTGATGCGTTGGGCCTGGATGGCAATGCCACCGCCCTCAACCACCTTGGGCGGCGCATTCAGCTGCAGGGACATGTCGATGGAATCAAGAATGGAGTCGAGCGTGTGCACGATGTCGTTTGAAAAGCCCGCAGCAAGCGAGGAGGAACCACTTGTACCGCCGCTGATGCCCTGAGCTGCCGCTGCCAGCGAGTCGAGCGCAGACTGGGCAGGGTTGGTGGTGGTCGTCGTGGTGGTCGTAGTCGTGGTGGTTGTAGTTGCTGGTATCGTGGTGGTGGTGGTTGTCGTGGTTGCCACCGGCGTCGTTGTTGTCGTTGTCGTTGCGTCCAGGAATGTGGAGAAGAGGGCCACCTGGCACGTGTAATTCACAGAAAACGACAGCACCCTGGCCTGTGCATCGTATACCTGGTTGTCAACAGCAACCCACCCCACCTGCTCATCGGCAAAGCACCGCGCCTCAAACCCGCGCCGCTCCGTGTCTGCCAGCGCCAGGTCGGTCAGGTCGACGGTGAAGTCGATGGGGCTTGTGGGCTCCTCATATTGAATGCCGTTGATGATGGCAAACGCAAACGTGACGCCTGCAAAGCACTCGTCGCTCGCCGCTGCCGCTACCGGGCTCGACAGGTGCGGGTACAGATCCTGAGGTGGAGGGAGGGAAGAGGGGGGGAGGAGGGTTGTGAGTGAGTGAGGGGATGGAATATAGGGCAGAACCAGGACGCATCGAAAAAGATGCACAGAGCACACACACACACACACACACACACACACACACACACACACACACACACACACACACACACACACACACACACACGTTCACACACGTTGATACACATTCACACACGTTGATACAAATTCATAGACATCCGCACACGTTCAAACACGTTGATACAAATTCACACACGTTCATACACGCTCATAAACATACACACAACGAACCAGATTTGCGGCTTGGGCGTATGATGCTTCTGAGAAGACGTCGATATCAAAGCGCCTGCCTTGCTTGTCTTGGTTGAGCACATATGACACGTGCACGCCACCCCACAGCTGCGACTGGTCCCAGTGGCCAACAACCATCTGGATGCCGTCCCACGTGAGGTCGGACAGCGAGCACTGGCAGTCGTCACACGCGCACGACTCCACATCCAGATCACACACGTCATCGCCGCACTTGTTGCCGCCTGGTCCGCTCAGCCGGCGTGTCCGCTCGAGCGCGAGCTGGTCCGATGCGAGGGCGTTGACATACGACAGCGCCGCCACAACAGCCAGTGCGGGCGGTGACTGCGGCGGGAGGGTGGCCGTGGTCATGGTGGTGTTGTGCAGGGCGAAGATGGCGGGGCCCGCGGGCTCGAGGGATGAAGAGCCAACGGGAAACAGCAGGCTGTTGAGTGTGGCCAGCACCTGCCACACTGCGCCCAACACGGCGTCGACATCGATGGTGTCGAGGGGCTCTGGGGACGTGCCTGTGGTCAAGTGCTGCACCATCTCTGGATACAGCCGCTCCCACAGCTGGTACTCGCAGTACGTTGACAGGATGCGCTGATATGCATCAGGTGATGCCAGCGGCCCGCGAAGAACAAACACGGGCGACGACTCAATAGCGACAGGAACAAGCACCGCTGGCGATGCTGCCGGTGTTGATTCCGAGACTGCCGCTGCTGCCGCTGCTGCTGCTGCGTTCAGGGTGTCGTTCAAGGTGGCGTTTGGGTTGGTGTTGACGTGGACTGCGGCGTGCAGGGATGTCATTTCAAATGCAAATGCACGTTCCTGGTTTGCAGGCACGACGAGCTTGAGGGGCAGCGCCACGGCACCAAGCGCCGCGGTGACGGTCTTGGTCATTGCCATTGTGTTTGTCGTCGTGTTGCTGAGGGGTGTTGCTGTCGTTGTCGTTGACGTTGTGTTTGTGTTTGTGCCAGTGGTGTTGCTGGTGTCGTTGGTTGGTATGCCGGTAACAACATAGTCCACAGCGATGGTGTTGCTGACGAGGACGGTGGTGTTGGTGAGCACGACGCAGGTGAGGTTCAACGGCTCGCAGTCACGTGGGTCTAGGGTGAGCGCAAGGCCGGGAATGGGTTGGCCATCCTGCTGAGCAACTGGAAGCAGGTCGGAGACGTTGACAATCGCCACAAACGTGGGCGCAATTACTGGGGCGGTTGTTGGCGCTGCTGTTGAGGTTGCCGGGGCACTTGTCGTCGCATGTGTCGCGTTTGTCGTTGCGTTTGCGGCATCTTCCTCCGTGGTGTGCCAGTAGAGGTCGAGGCTGAAGCTGATCACGGGTTGTGAGTTGTTGACAAAGGATACCGGCTCAACATCGAGCGAGGCAATGACGTTGATGGCGGGAGCGGCGGCGGCGGTGCACACGCCCGGCCCCACAACAAGCCCCATCGCCATGACAGTGATGGTGAGAGCGGCAGCAAGCCACGCTGCGGGTGGTGCTGCCTTCATCCTGCGCGGTTGCACCCCCCAACGATGCAAGCCAACACAGAGAAGGAGGAAGATGTGTTGGTTGGTTGGTTGGTTGGTTGGTTGGTTGGTTGGTGGAAGGAAAGGAGTTGCACACAAACAAAACAAAACAAAATAACCTCGCTGGTTGGTGTGTGTGTGTATGTGTCGTGTGTGTGTATGTGTATGTGTATGTGTCTGGCGCAGACGGGAGGATGACGTGAACTCCTGTGCTGCTGTTTTCGCGTGCAAACCAACTATGACCACACCCCGTGGTGGTGGTGGTTATTTCATTCACCAAGAGCGCACAAACAAAGGCAAACAACAACCGCAAGAAACCCCCGTTCACGTCAGGCAAAAGAAGAAGATGAGGGGAAGAGTGAGGGCGCGTGTGGTGTGCGATGTGGTGTGTGAGGGAGAGGGTGAGAGGGGGTGGGCACAAGTGGGCCAAAAACCAATCAACCTCCAACAACGATCGCCAGCAGCCACCAGCCAGCAGTACTCGAAGAATAATAAAATAAAAAATTTCCCAGCCTGCAGACAGGACAGCGAGCGATGTGCGTCATTAATTGCGCGATAAATGCTGGAAGATGTAAATAATATTCCGGGGTGAGGTGACACGCACGGCAAGCAAGCAAGCAAGCACGAGAAGGTTTTTCTTTCACTACTTTGTCTTGGTGGTGTGCTGGCTGACTTTTGCTTGGCTTGTGGGCTGGCTGTGCGCACACGGCAATCTCTAATGTAAGGGCAAGACGGCGACGAGGAAGAGGAAGCGACAAGGAAGCGAAGAGATCAAACGAAGAGGAAGCGACAAGGAAGCGACGAGGTCACAAAACGAACGCACACACAAACCTCACACGAAAAAAAAAGCAGCATGAGCCATGCATGCATGCAGTGCAAAGAGGTGCATCGTGTGCTTCATCTGAGAGACAAACTGACACATAGAGAAAAAGAGTGAGGGAGCATACACAAAACCACACACACATGCACACGCACACGCATAAACACATACAAAAACCACACACGCACACACGCACACATACACACACACGCACACGCACACACACACGCACTCAAGCCCCAAAGAAAAAGGTGAACAGAAGCAGATGACATTGTAACTGTGAAAACAGGAACCATCGGTTGTAACACAGCACACTTGCAGGCGAGAACACGGGCGGAGGGGGGCAAAGCAACGTTGAGACGATCAAAGAGACAGGAGAGGAAGGAAGAGGTGTGTACGCTGGCAAAGCGTGACAGGTGATCGTCACACATGGTTTGACATGTGGTGGTCTGATGTAACATCAAAGCACCTTGAAAGCACCTCGAAAGCACCTTCAACATACCGTCAACAACTGAACTAGCTGAGGTTAAGACTGCAGAGTAAAGAAGAAAGCGGTTGGACGGGAGCACTGGCGAAGAGAAACATACCCCACAATGAATGGCAGCATGTGTGCACGTGTTGGCCAAGCACACACACACACACGCACACACGCACACGCACACACACACACGCACACACACACGCACACACATACGCATGCATGCTTGTGCCAGTTGAGTTATTGAGTTGGTGCGAGCAGCATGTAGCCTCCTTCCTGCTGCTCCGGCACCACTTCACCCTTCAACCGCTCCCCCATGTAGTAGTTGTTCTCTGCGGAGGTAATGTTTCATGTGACCATGGTTGTATGTTTGTGTGAATGTGTGTGCGTGTGTGCGTGTGTGCGCGTGTGTGAACACGTGTGAGTGAGCCTGGCAAGCAAGCGCTGATCGTGCAGACCACGAGATCCAAAACCATGTCAAACCGCTACAGATGCCAACGCAAGCGATGCACGCGCGTGGGCCGTCTTGATACACCTGTGTAGTATTTGATGAGTCGGGGCACGGTGTTGAAGAGGAGGGTGGACGCGGTGCCAAGGCGGTACTGGGTGTGACCCGGAGCCGTGCTGTCAGCACCAGCCTGTGAACGGTGACAGGGAAGAAGGGAGAGGAGGGCAGAGGCAGGGGGGTGGGTTGGATATGAGCCGGCGCGACGAGAAGGTGACGTCGCCAACAACAAGAAGCAAGCATGTGGTGGACAAAGTACAAACCATGCACCCAACGAACAGAAACGTCGACGCGGTCACACACATATACATACACGCACACATGCACACATACACATACACGCACACACGCACACACGCACCCATGACGGCAGGATGAGCATGGAGACAATCTTGTTTGCCGTTGTCTTGGCGCTGATTGCATAATGGCCAGGCTGCGACTGGGAGATGCGCACAACAAAAGTACCTGATGTGTGTGTGTGTGTGTGTTTGTTGAAGGTGGTGAGCCCAGGTGTGCAAATTCAATGCTGAGAAGCACAAGCAGGCTGCAAGGTGGCCTCCATCCATCAAAGCCTTTATCTCGCCCCTCTCCCAGCACCCACCCAAAACACACACACACACACACACACACACCCACACACACACATCTGACCTGGCTCTGCCTGTGCGAGCTCTGTGGTGGCGTCGTGCCGGGTGTACGACTGGGCGCCACGGAACCACGGCTGCACGGACAACAGCTTCCACTGCTCCTCCAACCACTCCGGGTTCACGGCCTACACAGCAGGTGCATGTGTGCATGTATGTGTGTGTGCGTGTGAGTGTGTGTCAGTGTGCGTATCAGTGTGGCGCAGCAAGCAAAGCGAGCAACGCGGCATGGAAGCAAGCACAAGGAAGACGCGAAAGGTCAAGCAAAACGTGCTCGTAATCATGAACCATCATACCAGATAGCCGTCGTCCTGGCGTACGGCAATTAATGCATCAATAACAACACACGCGCGACATATGTGCACACAGCAATGAGCGCAAAGGGGCCGTCAATGTGAACATTCATCTGTCTTCACTCACAAGTACAACTATACAACCTGGCAGCGCACGCGAACGAACTCTCTCTCTCTCTCCACTTGCCTTTACTTCATGGCGCACACACACATACACACATACACACATACACACACGCACATACACACACGCACATACACACACAAGTCCGCAGGACAGTTAACGCACATCGCCATCAGGCTGGGCGCGGCTAGCGTCGTACTCGCCATCGGGTGCAACAGACAGATACCCGGCAGGTTGCTGAAGTACAAGGTAAATCGACAAAGCAGGCACAAGCAACGTTGGTCAGCAAGAAGAGTTGATGAACGAACCAATCACGAAGGCGTGTAGACGCAGACGCATTCGCGCGCACGCACACACACACACATACATACGCACGCACGCACACACACACACACGCACGCATACAGATACACGGGCACACGCTAACACATGCACACACGCACACACACACGCATGCACGCACACACACACGCACGCACACACGCACACACGCACATGCACGCACACACGCACGCACGCCTGATTCGCCGAGCTCTTGCACTGCCTCTGCCACGTTAAAGTTGTCGTATGCAGGCTCGCCCATCTCCTCCCAGGGATCCACGCCATCGGCAAAGAAGTCTTCGTCAGGAAAGCCGCCCTGAAACCACAGCATGTCGTGCAAACGTCAGACATTGCAAGATCCGTGCGCTGATTGGTTGGACAGCAAGGCCAACTGCCATGCGCATGTGCATGCGCGCAAACGACCTCGCATGCAAGCCGAAACACCTTCTCCCCCCCTCTCTTTGCTCCTCGCTTTGCTCGACGCACCTCATCGTAGAGATCGGCATTGGCGTCAATGTCAGCCGCGAACCTGCAGTGTGCCAAAACGATGATCACCGCCATCCATCAATCAGCGAATCAAAACCAGGCAGGGGATCAAAACCAGCAATCATCATCGTCGTCACCACCCCGAATCAAGACCACAGCAACAAAACGCGGTCACATCAATCCACACAAGCAGGGCATGCGGCATGCACGTACGCCATGTCCCCTTGCAAGTATGCACCAACGATTTCTCCTCTCCAAGAGGAGAGGCGTACCTTGGGTTTAGCGCCATCTTTGTTGTTGTTGTTTGGCGTGGAATCAATCGTGAGGATTAGTGGAAAGTATTCGCAAATCATCGTCGTCGCCTGCATTTGCTTGAGCATCTGTTCTCTTGTTCTCTCTCTTGTGTTCCTCTCAGCAGTCTTGGCCTCTCTTCTCTTCTCCTCTTCTCCTCCTTCCCACCCCTTCCCTCCTTCCATCCCACTCCAGCACTCCCTCCAACCATGCCCCTACTCCGCAATCCCCTATTCCCAGATTCCATGTGTTTTCTCCGTCCCATTCTCAATGTAGTCATACTCTACTGTGATGTTTTGTGTGCTTGCGTGTTGGCTCAGCCAAGACCATCATCACCACACATCACCAAAAAGTGTCAACAGCAACAAGACACCCAAACACAACTCAACAACTCTCTACAACTGCTTGTGAAAACTCAGTATCACACCACTCACTCACACTCGCAAATTAGAGAGAGAGAGAGAAGAAAAACAAAAAAAGAACAGAAGATATGGCACTGTCACACTATCACAAGAACTGGGCCGTGCCCAGGCTACTACAGGAGAGAAGAACGGGAGTCAGCGCTGGAACAGCTACTTACTACGCTGATGAAGTAGGTGGAAAGAAACAGAAATAGAGAACGAGAGGAGGCATGGGACATGCGGCTAGTGCATCGTGCAACGGTGCTGTGTCTGAGGAAGAAGAAGTTGGCAAAGAGGTAGAGAGGTGGAAGTCCAGCCCACACAACAGGTAAGAAGGCAAATGGACAGAGACAGGCAAGCAAGCAGGAAAGTGCACAGAATATACTCGAGGCAGAGCTGAGACTGACCAAAAATAAAAACAAAACACGAACGAAGCTCGCACCATCGTACTACACCAAGGCGCTCCCAAAAGCCAAACAGAAAGTAAAGGCTTGGAACGCTTGGAAGACTCGAAGGTGGAGTTCTGGAGTTGTGTGTATGGACAATGGGGCAGAGGATGGAGAGGGAGAGGAGGGAGGGAGGACGATGACATACAACCGTTGCAGGCATCCCTCCCACCTCGGGCACACACCGACGAGGACCATCGATCAATCACAGCTGCGTCGAATTTGCCTGCAAGCAACAGATCACGGCCATACCGAGTGAGTGACAGCGCTTTGCTCCACAGAACAGCACAGAGCGACCCAAAATTCGTAAAAACTCGACAAACATGGCACAACAACAACACGACCACATACACATGCACACAATCACACATGCACACACACACACAATCACACACATGCACACACATGCACACACATACACACACATCAATATACTCGCACACTCGCACCTGTGAAAAGTCGGGACGGGCACGATGTGCCTGGCCTGCCCGCGACCGAATTTGCATCTGCTGCTGCTGCTGCTGCTGTTGTTGTTGTTGTTGTTGTGATTGCAGTTGATGCTGCTGCTGGTGATGATGATGTTGCTGCGTGACGCCCCTCAACATTGCGTCAATGTCTGGAATGCCCAACTCGTCACCAAGGTCGGGTGCCTGCACGCATGAAGCTTGCGGGTCCTGCACAGAGGGCCCGCCATGCTCAGCGATTGGAAACAAGCCCATGTACATGTCATCGTGCTGCAAGACTGCTTCAAAGTCAAACGCGCTCACCGCCGGTGCTGGGGCCTGCTCATAACCAGCATGTTGCTCGTGCTGGGGTTGCTGTTGGTCCAAGAGGTGGGCGGCAGCTGGGTCGCTCATCCCGGGTATGCCGTGCACGTATGTCGGCTGAGATAGCGGTGTCACTGCAGCCGCAAATGCGGGTGGTGGCCCCTTTGTCCCCTCACCAGAGAACACACTGCCCGGCTCGCTTCCGCTCAGCCCGATGTCACCGTGCTTGGCATCGCCGTTGTGGTGGTTGCTGCTGCTGCCGTTGGCATGGCGAGTGCGTGTCAACATGTTGTGGTGACTGTGCGAGGCAGGAACACCTGGGTTGACAACACCACCGCCACCACCACCGCCACGAGCAGGAGCATCACCCGTGTTGGACGGCACGCTCATTGACCGCTTGAGCGGTGATGTGGACGACGATGAGGACGAGGTGCGACGCTGGTGCATCTGGGGATGGTGGTGGGATTGAGCTTGGGACTGGCGATGGTGTTGCTGTTGCTGGTGCTGTTGCTGGTGCTGGTGCTGGTGCTGTTGCTGGTGCTGGTGATGGCGGTGGTGATGGTGGTGGTGATAGCGGTGGCTCGGTGACAGAAACTGCTGTCGCTCCTGCCTTTCGTCGTATTGCACCCGAGCCTCTTCTTGCGAGTACATGGCGGCAGTCTCAAGCGGGTACTGTTGTTGTTGCTGTTGTTGCTGTTGTTGCTGTTGTGCTTGGTGCTGCTGTTCGTGGTGTTGTGCGCCAGCATCCGTCCTCAGCTCATCTGCAGCTGCAACATCCATGGCAATCGAGTGGGTAATGTCGTTGTCATCAAACAGCCCACCGAGCAAGCTGTGCATGTCTGACACATCGCCCGTGTACCCGTCCCGTGGCGGCGTGTTCACTCTCAAGTTGACGACGTCAGGCAGCAGCGTGCTCAGACCCGTCGCCGGGCCCGACCCAACACTGCTGGTTGCCCCGTCATCATAAGACTGCTGCTGCAGGTGCTGCAGGTGCTGCTGCTGTTCTTGCTGGTGTGGGCGCTGTTCCTGGACGTCAGCGCCACTCGGCTCCTCAGCCAAGGGCTGCATGTGTCCGCCGCTGCCGCGCGACGATGCCGAGGCAAAGCTCGCCTGGCGGCTTCCAAACGATGGTGCACGTGCAAACAGTGCATATGGCGAGTCTGGGCTGCTGCCCTCGTCCACGGAGAACTGCGTGTCGGATGCTGCTGGCGACGGTGCAAGCACAGTGGACTGCCGTGCCGCATACATCGCCGAATGGCGCCGACGTTGCTGCTGCTGGTGCTGCTGCTGGTGTTGCTGCTGGTGTTGCTGGTGTTCATGTTGTTGTTGAAGTTGTTGATGTTGTTGATGTTGTTGATGTTGTTGATGTTGTTGTTGATGTTGTTGCTGGTGTTCATGTTCCAGTCCACTGCCCATCCCAGCCTGCTCTTGTTGCTGGCCGGGGTAGCTTTGCTGAGGCCCAGCCCATGAGTGACGCCAGGGGTTTGAAAGTGGCGGTGCATGCTCGCGCGGTGGTGCCGTTGGCTGCTTTCGCGCGGGTGGCGATGGGTAGCGGAACAGGTGGCCTTGGTGGTCGTCGGCTGCTGTTGGCAGCGGCAACGGCGGCATGGACAAGCGATGGTGGTGCTGCTGCTGTTGCTGCTGTCGCTGGTGTCGCTGCTGCAGGTCGAGGTCGTATGCACTCGCACGCCGTGCATCCATCCTGTGTGCTCCACCAACACCCGCGCTGCTGCCCACGTGCCCTGGCCCGGGGCTCGGGCTTCCGTGGTGCTGCAGGTGCTGTGACGAGAGCCGGCGGCGAGCTGCTGATGCGCCGTGCACGCCCCCGCGGTGGTGATGATGATGATGGTGATGATGCTGGTGGCGGTGGCGAACGTGGTGTGGAGAAGATTGGAGCGGGGACGTGCGGGCGTGAAGGCCGTTAGCATCACGTCGCAGATACATGGGCGGCGAGCCCACGGGAAGCGACTGCGTGCTTGCGCTCCTGTGCATGGGATGGTGCGGTGACGCCTGCTGTGCAGGCCACTGGTGCAGCGATTGCGTCTCCATGCCCTCCAGTCCCGGCTTGGGGCGCTTCGTCTGCAGCCCGCCTGGACAGCGCGGGCCAGGGGTTGAGCGGGGAGCAGGGCGGCTCCACTGCATGTCGTCCGACTGCGTATCAAACGGCCGCGTCGTGTTGCTGGCGCTGGACAGGCGCCGCGGGTTGAATGCGAGTGCAGGCTCCGACGCCCGCGCAGGCAGACGCACATCCGACCGCTGTGGTGTGACGACCCTCACAGGGGATGCCGATGGTGGCTGGTGATGTGTCGACACAAACCTCCGTGACGCTGGCGATGGCTGCCGTTGCTGCTGCTTTTGCGGGGAGTAAAGGCGTGGGCGGTGAGGGGATGCGGTCTGCTGTGCCTGGCGGTGGAGCTGCTGCTGCTGCAGTTGGCGCAGTTGCTGCTGCTGCATGTGGTCACGGTTCTGGCGTTCCTGCTGTGGTGACTGCTGCATCAATGGTCCTTGGGCCCGTGGTGGCGGCGGCGGCGTTGTTGGTGGTACCGCCACTGCTGCTGCCCGCGTTGGGGACAGCATGCTGGTCACTGCTCCCTGGCGCTGAAGCGGTGGCTGCTGGCTCGCCTGTGCCTGTTGTGGTTGCTTGGGCGCCAGGGACGACGATGACGATGACTGCTGCTGCTGCTGTTGTTGTTGCTGCTGTTGCATCTGCAGCTGCAGCCGTAGCACACGAGCAAGGTCGGGTGCTGCGGTGGTCGACGCTGTTTGCTGTGTCATGGCCTGCACCTGCGCCATCATATCCGGGTTCTGCTGCAGCCGTGACAGCGCTTGCATCCAGTCAATCACAGCCTGCTGCTGCTGTTGTTGCTGCTGCTGCTGTGGTGGTGGCGGTGGCACGGGTGTTGGTTGTTGCTGTGGCTGCGGCGCGACTGTGGCGGTGGTGCTGGTGGTGGTGTTGCCGTTGTCGTTGGCACCGCCACGACTGTTGTTTTGGGGTCGGCGGGAGCGCCGCTTCTTGATCGGCTGTCCAAGCCGTATCTGTTTCCGAACCAGCAACAGGGACACAACAACACCAACGCCACAAACAAAGACACGCAACCACAAGAATGCAAGAAAGAGGGGGGGGGGGAGGCACGCGATGAGCCTTGGTGACAAAATTTAAGGTGGTATTTGAAGAAGAAGAAAATCAGGGATGATCACGTTGGAGCCGGCTGGAAAGATTGCAAAGACTGTAAAGACTGTGGGATTTGTGTCATGACACGCGATACGCACGCCACACAGGCCAACACACGCACACACACACACACACATCCACACACACGGACACACGCGATACGCACGCCACACAGGCCAACACACGCACACACATCCACACGCACGGACACACACACACGCACAGACACACACACACACACACATACAACACACACAACACAACACACGCACCCGCTCAGCACGCCGCTTGGCTGCTGCTTCTTCCTTGGCGCGCATTTCCTTGAGCTGGGCAAGGGACTCCTTGTTGTGCTGCAGGCCCTTGTGCTTGCAGTGTTTGAGGTGGTAGCGGATGCCGCCACTACTGCGATACTTCTTCCCGCAGCCGGGCACGCGACAGTCAAACCGGCCAAACCTGCCCGTGGTGAAAGCGCCCGTGCTGCCATGCAGCTGCGATGATGACCCTGGACCCGCCCCTTCCTGCTCCTCCTCCTCCTCTTCCTCATCTTCGTCATCGTATTCGCAGTCACTCTCGTAATCATAGTCGTCGCCGTAATCCGTGTACTCGTTGTACTCGTCCGTGTCGACGGGCTGCTGCTGCTGCTGCTGCTGCTGTTGTTGTTGTTGTTGTTGTTGTTGTTGTTGTTGTTGTTGTTGTTGTTGTTGTTGTTGTTGTTGTTGTTGTTGTTGTTGTTGTTGTTGTTGTTGTTGTTGTTGTTGTTGTTGTTGTTGTTGTTGTTGTTGCTGTTGTTGTTGTTGCTGTTGTGGTTGTGCGCTCGCCTCTGCTGTGGAGGCGGGTGCAGCTGATTGGTGGAGCTGACGTGACTGCAACCCGGCGCCTGCCAAGTGGTGTTGGCTGAAGCTGCCCGTAGCGCCCGTGGCTGACGTGGTTGCTGTCGCTGCTGTCGCCGCTGATGCCTGCGACAGGGGTGCAGCCGGTGGCGATCCCACGTAGGTGATGAGGGGCGTATCGCCATCGTTGTCATCGGGACCGCACTGCATTGTGGTCTGGGCAGCGTCGTCGTGGTGGTGCTGGTGCTGGTGGTGCTGCTGCTGGTCCTGCTGCTGGTCCTGTGGTGTTGTGAGCGCCTGGTATTGGCTCTGCCAATTCGCGTCCTGGGCTTCGTCTAAGCGCACAGGCGGGAGGTGTGATGTTGACGACGACGATGACGGTGCTTCTGGTGGCCCTTGCAGGGCTGGCGCGTCCTCGTGGGGGTGCTGCAGCAGTGGCTGGTGCGACTGTGTGTGACTGCTGGTGCTCATGGCGCCCAGGGTGTCACTTGGCCAGCCGCGCTGATGGGGTTGACGATGCGACAGCTGGGTGGCCGCGTCTTGTCGGGCGGATGACGGCTGCCCGTGCTGGTCGTGCTGGTCGTGTGGGCTGCGGCGGTGGTGGTGGTGGCTACCCCCGCCTAGAGTTGTCGGAGTGGATGCTTGTGGTATCAGGGGCGAGGAGGACGTGAGGTCATTGGGGCCTGGGTCGAAGCTGTGCATTCCAAGACCAAGCGGACTGAGGGGCGGGAAAACAGAATCGCCAAAGAAGGAGAAGGTGGAGTTGGCCGGGGAGTGTGGCACAGACATTGCCATGATGAAAAGGGAACAAGGAGAAGGACACAGGCAAGAGGCGAGACAGTGAGCGAGTGGGTAAGCGTGTGTGTGTGTGTGTGTGTGTGTGTGTGTGTGTGTGTGTGTGTGTGTGTGTGTGTGTGTGTGTGTGTGTGTGTGTGTGTGTTGGCAGGGAGGGGGTGGTGTGCAAAATGAAAGGGTGTGTATGTATGTATGTGTGTATGTGTGTGTGTGTGTGTGTGTGTGTGTGTGTGTGTGTGTGTGTGTGTGGTGTGGTGTGAATCGTGGACGTGGAGAAAAAATGAACTGCGGTCGAGCACAGCAAAGAACAGCTGCGTAATGGTGGAGGTAACGGCACAGGTGAACGAAACAGAGAACGTGACGTGGGCGAAGGTTGAAACGCAATGTTGGTCGCGTCGCTCACGCACGTACACGCACACGCACGCACGCATGTACGCAAGCTGCCTGTCCACGATTCCGATATGGGCAAAGGCGCACATACAACCCAAGCAAGCCGCGAGCAAACCAAAGGAATCGAGCAGTTTCAAAGCGTGGCAGTAGCTCGCGCGACGATTGCAAGATGCAACAAGCAAGGAAAACCAGAGGAGGCGAGCAATAAAGGCCGCAAGTGGGCCAGCGAGGCAGCCAGCAAGTAAGCAAGTAGGGGCGCTCGAAAAGAAACGAGCGAGGCGGAAGTGTGAAGGGGGTTGGCAAGTTGACAACCAAGACAACAAGTAATGAACCCCATCCTTGCTTGCTTGCAAGCAAGCAAGGATGGCGCGCGGAAAAAAAAAAAGCAAAAGCAAAAGCAAAAGCGTGCAGCGTCGAGTGCAATGCGAGGCCAGCTCGATGGCACACGGCGTGAACATGCGCTCGCCACACTCCCAGTGGCAACTCGCCGAGGGCACACGAAACCGACCGAGCATGAGCAATTGGATACATAATGTCAGCCCCATGGAGCACAAGAGGACATGGCCGCGAACAATACGCGCACGCAAGGAAATGTTGGTGGTGGCAAGCCGGCGTGCACGCGCGCATGAGCGTGGGGGGGGGAGAGAGAGACAGAGAGAGACAGGGACAGAGACAGCGAGAGGGAGAGAGAAAGAGAGAGAGTGTGTGTGTGTGTGTGTGTGTGAAAGAGAGAGAGAGAGAGAGACCCCAAGAAAGCAAGAAGGGGTACGTGTGCACACTTGGAGAAGTCAGCGAGTGCAAGTGCCGTGGCAAAAGGAAGAGAAAGAGGTTTTGAAGGAGTGGCGTGCAAGAGTGCACGCGCATGTGCAAGACAGAGAGAGAGAGAGAGAAGGGAGAGGGGATACAGGCAGGGAAAGAAGCGACTGTAGGATGCTTGTGGGTGTGTGGATGGTTGGGAGCGTGCTGTGACGCGACCAACACCTACTCACTCATCATGGCATTGCACCCACCTTGGTATTGAAGAAGACCAACAGCGGCGGTGCTCGCTGGTGTCAAGCTCGTCTTACCCAGAAGAAATTGGCCACAAACGCGTCAAGGGTTGGGGGGAAGTGGGAAGGAGGGCACCTTTTGTGTGTGCAGATGAGCGTCGATGTGTGTGTGTGTGTGTGTGTGTGTGTGTGTGTGTGTGTGTGTGTGTGTGTGTGTGTGTGTGTGTGTGTGTGTGTGTGTGTGTGTGTGTGTGTGTCGGGCGGTCCACGCCTGCTGACTGTTTGTGTGAAAGGTGGGTGTAGACGAAGAAGCAGCGGCAGGTGGGGTTGGTTCGAGTGAACACGAGCAGGTGGTCAAGTATCTTCAACAAGCGGGATCACACCATATGTCAACCACACACATGCATACACGCACACATCTACACATCAACACATAGCTCGCTCGACCTGTTGCATCCCCGCACATCCACATCCATACACGCACATACATGCACGCACACACATGCACATGCACACATGCTCTCAATGCACGAGCCAACACTCAACGCACGCACCAGACTCACCAGAATCAAAGGGTGTGCTTGTGAAAAGAACAAAAGCACACGTCCAGTCCGCGCAGACCAGCTGTCAATGGGTATCAATCGTGTGTATGCGTGTTGTTTCGATTGGTGTTCGTTTGTTTCTGCTCGTTGCTGTTGTTGTCGTGTTGTTGTTCTTCTTTCTCGGGTCTCCCGCACGCGCCTGTTGCAATTGAAAGTCGGCAACCTTTCCCTCCTTCGTACCCTCTCTCCCGCCTGCTCCTTTGTCTGCCTGGCTGGCGGGCTGTGGGTTTGTTTGTTTGTTTGGGTGTGTGCGTGTGATGATGTCCTTGCTCCTTTTGCTTGCCGTGGATGTGTGAGGGCGCAAAACAACGCAGCAGAGCTGTGGTCATCAGCAAGAAGAAAAGCAACCAAAGGGTGGGTGCGGATGTCGTTGTGCGCACGCAACAACTTCCCACCACAAAACACGCACACAAGCACACGCAACAAAAGCCAACCAACAAGCAAAAGCAAGCAGAAGCGAATGCGTCTCGTTTTGAGCGCAGTGCGTGCATGCAAGCAAACGCGCCTGAAAACGCAACGACAACGGTTGCAGAACGTTGCGAGAGCGAGGAGTAAGCTTGCTTCGCACGAGCCATCGAGGCAGCGAATAAATCAAAACGTTTCGCACTTCGCAACCATCGCAGCTTCGTTGGACATGGGATTTGCAATCCTGCTGACAAGGACACTGCACGCGCACACGTGCACACGCGGCAAGGCGGACAAAACCAAACGACCGTCTGTTGTCGGCAACAGCGTCACAAAAGCCAGCCACTGCTGCGTGTGTGTGTGTGTCTGCACGCGCGCGCACGCATCTTGCAGGGTGCATGCACCCAGCACTCCATCCAGGATCATGCTTCTGTCCACTGTACTTGCTTGCATGCAAAGGTGTCGGCAACCAGTGTGATGTGATGTGACAAACCACCACACCACAACGAACATTTCACGTCAGGGTGCGGGCTTCCGTTCTTTCCGTTGCTCATGCAATGTGCGCTGTGTCGGTCATTTGAGCTTGCAGCCTTGGCTTGCAGCAGTTTGAAGAGCCGTCCAGCTCAGTCGCACGCGCGTGCGGCAAGAGCAATAATCCCTTGTCCCCTTTGCTTGGTCAACAAACAAAACATGTAGGCCAATGGGAATGGCGTTACACTGCAGTGCATGGTGCACTGTTGCTCCTGTTGCTGTTGCTATGCACCACCATGCCACAAGACCCACAGCGCAAGACCTGCTGCACGCGAGAGCAGCCAGGATGGACTCGTGTGTGCCGTGAACTCTGGACAGTCCGCCCCTGGCCAAGAGCCACCCACATTGCACGAGCTCGCCTGATGCAGTGCACGAGTGGCTAATGGCTGTGAGCGCGACGGGTTTGAAGATTGGTGGTGTGTGAGAATTCGTTTACTGTGATTGTGGCCATTTGCCGCGTAGTGGGGAGCCATGGACACAGACAGTGTGAAGCAGAAGACAACAGGCAACACACACACACACACACACACACACACACACACTCTCTCTCTCTCTCTCTCTCACACACACACACACACACACTCACACACACACACACACACACACTCACACACACACACACACACACACATACACACAAGAGGAGGAGGAGGGGGCGAGCTGGCTTGAGAGCTAGAGAGCGAAGGAAAAGGACCAAACCATAGAGGCTGCAGCACACGGCACCATGTGGACACCGCCCTTTGGGTTCAGATGCAGGCACAGCGACGTGCCTTTGTTCTCAAGCTGCACATGCAGAGTGCGAACGAGTGTGCGAATGCGCGTGTGTGCGCGCATGTGTGAGTGAGTTGAGCGAAGACGCATGTGGACGCGGATCAGGAAAACAGAACACGGCATGATCTCATGCAGCAGCTCCACACACACACACACACAAACGCACACATGGACACGCACACACACACACACATAGACACACACATGGACACGCACACACACACATAGACACGCACACACACACACACACACAACCACGCCACAGGCCCACCTTCTTGTCTGGACCGTAAGACCACTGCTGCGCCGGCGGCGGGTTGTCGTCGAGTGCGCACTTGGCCAATGACACCCCCGTTGGTGTTGCAGCGAGACACAGCACCCCGTGCATCAGCTCCCCCTGTGCCGTCAGCACCCAGTACTGGTTGCCGCCAAGGCCGTGGCACCCAAAGGTGCCCACTTCCTCCCCATCTCCATGGCCCATCGTGTCCAGGCACACCGTGCCGCACCGCAGCTCGCCCCACGCCAGGTTGTGGTGTTCGGGGACGTGCAGCTGTGGATACACCGTCTGCACATACCAACTGAACGGCTTGCACCCCAGCCTGCAGTGATTGTCGGTGTGTGTGTGTGTGAGAGAGTGTGTGTGAGAGAGTGTGTGCGTGTGGTGTCGTGTGTGCGTAGGGTGTCGTGTGAGTGTGTGTGTGTGTGTGTGTGTGTGTGTGTGCGTGTGTGTGTCCGGCGTGTCGCCGTGATTATTGCGTGGTTTCGGAGCGAATGCACAAGCATATCAGCGACATGACCGTATCCCCCCATTGGCTTCAACAGCCAGCTTGCTCCAGCACACCCACACCAACCCCACCTCAATCCCACCTTCCTCTTTTCCTCTCAACCGCCACAACTCGTGCTGGGGCCACCTGCTGCGAAGTGCAATCTGTGCGCTGACGTCACCAAAGTCCACGCCCGTGAAGTGCGATGCGCGGTGCCCGTAGAACTGGGGCTTGTACTCGTCCAGCCACACCTGCACAGCGGAGAGGGGGAAAGAAGGGGGGACACGTGCCAAATCAACGAGGAATGGAGGGGCATGACAGACAGACGGACAAGTAGACAGGCAAGAAGACAGGCAAGAAGAGCGTGGACATACACAACCCCACATATACACACACATACAAACACACACACACACACTCGCACAAACACACACACACATGCACACACACGCGCGCGCGCGCACCTCGACGATGCGGAGGATGTTGCGGGTGTAGCTGGCAGCAACGCCATCCGGAAACAAATACGGGTGCTGCGGCATGAACATGTGTGCAACGCGCGAGCAGGGGTGGATCACCGCCCGTCCACTGCACATCCACACCTTGAACGACAGCTCAAGGTTGTCGCCGCCCCAGTATGTCAGGCCCTGTTTCGCCCGCGTGGCAGTGAATATGTGTTTGAGTACGTGTGCATATGTGTGTGTGTATGTGTGTGTGTGTGTGTGTGCATATATGTGTGTGTATGTGTGTGTGTGTGTGAGCATGGTGATAAAGCAGGGCGCACGCAGGGGAAAGCAAGGATGCAGGTTGAGAGGATGCAGGGTTGAGTGTGGCGTGGAAAGGGTCCTATAGTCAAGTTGAACACTTCACTCAGCAAGAAGAACAAACAGCAACAGCACTCCCCATGCGCTCACGTCCATGCTACGTTTGCACGTGTTGACAACACGTTGCCACAGACCTGATCAAACCCGCCAAGGTGCTCAAGTGTTGTTCCTCGAATGGCAACGACACCCGGCAGCACGGGCGATGGATATGCGACACCACCACCACCATCACCACCAGCAGCAGCACTGCGGTGCTGTACAGGTATGCTCAGCCACTTGAAGAGCATATCCCAGCGAAAGCCGGCGATCATGGCTGGGGAGCGGCGTATGGCGAGGGAGGCCGGGTCAATGGCATCGAGTACAGGGGATATGGCGTCGGCGGGGTGCGTCGTGACGTGTGCCAGCAGTGGCGGCAGCCACCCGTGGCCAACCTCAACATGCGCATCCAGGAACACAAGCACCTGCACACGTACACGCGCGCGCGTGTGGGTTTTTGTGTGTGTGTGTGTGTGTGTGTGTGTGTGTGCGTATGTGTGTGTGTGTGTGCAAGTGAGTGAGCAAGTGACAGACAAACACATGCTTGCATGGAGACGGGACAGAGAACATGAAGAAGCACGAGTCACAGGCTGCACTGCACGACTGGGGTGATTGATGCCATCAGTCGATGCAAGGCAGTCCCAGCCACGCCGTCACAGCCATGCGCACATGACAGGTGTTGCCACCTACATCGCCAGCAGATGCTTTGACACCCAGCATGCGCGCGCGTGCAACACCGAGGCGCTCATCGCTGCGAACAAACTGCACGGGCACGCCAACGTGGATACCGTCAAACAGGCTGCTCAAGTCTGCAGTGGCATCACACCACCAGATGGCATTGTACGTACCGCGCGTGTGTGTGTGTGTGTGTGTGTGTGTGTGAGTGTGTGTAAGTGTGAGTGTGTTGAAGGCTAAGAAGACGAGGAACACGGCAGCTACGACGATGGCCAAACACACTCACTCACTCACGCACTCACACACAATCACACAGTCACACAACTGCAAATCACACACTCACAAACACATACTCATCACTTCCGCACATGTGTGTGCGCGAAGAGATAACACTGACAACGTGTCTGCTCACCTGTTTGAGAGGCGTCGTCAACGACAACAATGTCAGACAGCAAGGCCATCGGAGTGCGTGCGAGGACGCTGGCCACTGTTCGAAACAACGTCGTTGGCTCCTCGTTGTGTTGAATAATAATCACACTCGCTCTCAACTCTCCATCATATGGAACGTTCGAGCACCTGCGTGTGTTATGGGTCAATGCAACGCGCCAACAACGGTGAGCATGTGAGAATGGTACTGTGACACACATTCACAGACACCACACACACACTCACAGACACCACACGCACAAACACACATACATACACACCACCACACACAAACACACACCACACCACCGAGCTTCTTTGTAGCACAACGCTGTACAAGGTCACACATTCCATATGCTGCACATCTCCCCCCCCCCCCAAGTACGTACTGGTTGCCGCGAAAATCTGGCGTGCTTCTCAAGACCCCAACAGCTTGGCTCTGACTCAGATCCAACGCGCCATACTGCAGAGCGGCGCTGTCCGCAGTGTGTCGTGCGCGAGTGCTCTGCTTCCACGCATCGAAGTGCTGCTTCAGTGCTGTGGCCCTGGCAAGCTCATCATCCAAGCCCCAGTGCTCCCGCCACAAGTACGTCGCCAACACCAACACCAATACAAGTTGCACCGCAGCCACTGCCCAGCGCCAAGCACAGCGCATGGCCTGCTGTTGTGCGGTTGGTATTGGTTGGTGTGTGTGTCGTTATCGTTGATGAAAATTGGCTGTATCTTCCACCAAACGTGGCTGTGTCATCATGGATGGATGTGTGCACATCAATGCTCTCTTCAGACTGCACCTTCTCTGTGCCTTCCCTCTTGTCACTGTGCTTGCCCCGCAAGCATTTGCCATCGCTGGCACCAGTGTTCGCTGTTGTTCGCTTTGTAAGTACGAAAGGAAGGGTAAAAAGCAACTTATATGTCACAACACTCGCACCTTCAATCAAAGCGTGTAATCAAAGCATGGATGATGCGCTGTGACCACGTTCGCCAGTACGGACATACACACACACACACACACACACACACACTATCTCTTCCACTCACGCACACACACGCACGCACACATAACCAACGTGTGACAATTTCGTTTGAAAAACATAACACAGGCAAAACTAACCCCCAACAAAAAATATTGGAAGGAGAACGTTCAGAAGGCGACCAGCTCCTCCACGGTCTTGATGCCAAACCGCTGCCATCAGAGAGAACACAGGAGAGTGAAGTGAGCAGGAGACGATGTGAACCCCACGCATGCACGTCCAGATCATGAGATGCAAGCGCAGGAGAAAGAATACGTGCTTGCGTGCGTGCGTGCGTGCGTGCGTGCGTGCGTGCGTGAGTGTGTGTGTGTGTCAAGTGAAAACAGAAACGTGCAGTAAAATACAGAAACGTGCAGCAAATACAGACAACCACAAGTGCACACATGCATCAATACATGCAGCAGCATGTTCCTATCCCGCTTTGATGCTTCGACCATACCTGTGGGCAGCCGGAGTGGGCTACGTCCTTGCCTTGTAGCTTTCCATCCACAATGTACTCGTGGCCAATCTTCTCCTGAAAGAATACAGCGCTCACACAGATGTGTATGCATGTATGCATTTGTGTGTATGTGTGTATGTGTGTGTGTGTGTGCGTTGGTGGTGGTGGTGTGCGAGTGTGAATCGGGGACAAGGTGGGTGCATCGTATCATCGTATTCTGGCTTTCATCATCAAACGCAGGTACAACATCTCCACTGCACTCCCTCTTCAAAAACCACCACCGCCCACCACCACTGCCCAGCATTGCACGCGTGTGGTCGCACCTGTGCCCACAGGATGACCTTGTCCATCATTGGTGTCTTGACACCGCAGATATCGGCAATGCCGCGCATCACGCACAGCCCGTGTGGCAGATCCTGACGGCGGCGATGGCGGCGATGGCCAGGGATACAGCACGTGCAGTCGTGGACAGCTAGTGAGGACGCAGACGGCGCACGGGGGGGGGGGAGGTGGACACATAACATACACAGGTACGCGCATACAGGCAATCAAACGTGCTCACTCCCTCACTCACTCACTCACATATATACACACATTTGCACACATTTGCACACATTTGCACACACACACCAACCACATCATGTTATGAGAACGCACGTCAGTGAGGTAGCGAGTGTGGAAGTTTGGCATGAAGGTGCCATCGTCCAACTGCTTGCACGGCGCCTTGAGCCCACGATACGCAAAGTTGCTGGCAAAGATCTGGTGCAGCCACATACACGCACAATTGTATGTAGGAGAACGGTTGTAGCGCAAATGTAAGCAACTGTGTTCCCACACATACACACACACGCACGGCTCTGAGCGGGCTGACTCACGCGGGCGGTTGAGCTCCTGTCCTTGACGTTGTCACCGTATGCATCGATGGTGTACTCATCAATTGGCTGCCACTGCGACAAATCTGCATCCGTGCGAGACACAATCACATCCCGACACGCCTGAACACGGCGGCGACAAACAACAGCAGCGGTGGCACGTGATGGTTGAATGTCGTTCGTGTGTGTGTGTGTGTGTGTGTGTGTGTGTGTGTGTGTGTGTGTGTGTGTGTGTGTGTGTGTGTGTGTGTGTGTGTGTGTGTGTGTGTGTTTGGACTGTGAGTGAAGGAAATTAGGAAGCGTAACGGGAATTGACCACCATGGCACACATACACACACACGTACACACACACACACGCGCGCGCACGCACCTTCACTTCGTCGGAAATGGTCTGGAGGACGTTGCCCGTGAACTCGTCGCAGTTCTGGTAGAAGAGCGGCTGCTCGGCCACGGGTTTGCCGTCCCAGTCGCGCCAGATGCCGTACGTGATGGCGGGGTGGATGACAGCGTTTGTGCACCACATGGTGATGGTCAGGAAGTGCCCGTCCGAAAGAAACGTCGTGTTCTTGTGCAGCTGGTTCAGCAGCGGGCCCAGGCGCTGTGGACACGTGCGCATATGTGTGTGTGTGTGATAGTGTGTGTGTGTGTGTGTGTGTGCGTGCGTGCGTGTGCGTGTGTGTGTGATAGTGTTGCAGATTGAGGGAAAGGTGTGTACGTGCATACATGCGCAACGGGCGCCTAACACGCCACACACACACACACGCACACACACACACGCACGCATGCGCACGCACGCACATGACAGACGGCCCACCTTCCAGGTTTTTTCCGTGTGCGGCTCGTAGGAGACGAAGATGTTGGCCTTTTCGCTCTGAAGGTCCACAGATGAGCCATACTCCGTGAAGCGGCACACCCACGGCAGCGCGCCCGCACCAAACAGCGTCACATTCTGCACGCAGGATGTGCATGTGCATTTTGTGTTTGAGTTGTGTGCTCATGGTGTCGGCTGAGCAGCACACACACACAACACACACACAACACACACACGCAAACACACACACAACAATACAACACGCACACGCACACGCACACACACACACGCAAACGAATGCTCGCTATGCACGTGCAAGACTACGAAACTGCGACACTGACCTTCTTCTGCATGAGGTCGCCCAGCACGTGCTTTGCCAGCATGTTGAAGCCACCGGGCCCGGGGATGGCGCCCACAAACGCCCCTGCCGTGTGGTGGTCGTGATGGGGGCCACGATCATGTGAATACATGCACACGCAGGCTGATGCGGCCACACAGCAAAACGCAGGCACATACGCACACATGCCCAAGGGCACGCACGCACGCACCGTCGTGCAGGTGCGGGGCGATTTCCTTGAGGATGGGCTCGTGGGCAAACGCAGGCGTGATGAGCAGGATGAGATCCGAGTCTGGGATCACCTCTGCAGGGTCATTGGAGATGGCCTGTCCACCAATCAACGGAGACAATTGTGTGTGCATGGTTGTGCATGTATATGTGTGAGAGAGGGGGGACGGGAATAGGGTTGTTTGGGCGCGGGATTGCACTCACACGCGCGCATGCACGCAGCGAGAAGCAATGCACGAGGAATGCACGAGGAGAAGCAACCATGCGTTGCTTTTACCGGCCAACACAATGAAACAGCGATGGATCACATCCTCATCAAGCGAATGCGGCCATGATGGCATGGTGGCGGCATCACGCGATGCGCTCACCTTGGGCATTGCTTTGTACGAGCCGTCCTTTGTGTTGACGGTGACGCCGCCGGTCCTCTCGCAGCCTTTGCGGAACTTCCGCGCTTCCTCCTCAAACGAGAAGAAGAGGTTGACATCCGCGCCTTGGGTGGTGAACATGCCAACAGCGACGTGGGCAGCGTTGCCACCGCCGCACACCGTCACCTGACAAGTGTGTGTGTGTGTGCATGTGTGTTTGTGTGTGTGTGTGCGTGTGCGTGTGCGTGTGTGTGTGTGTGTGCGTGCGTGCGTGTGTGTGTGTGTGTATGTGTGTGTGTGTGTGTGTTAGCGAGCGGAAAAGCCAATCTGCGTTGTGAGGCTTTCACAAGCAAGCCAATCGGCATGCAGATCTAGAGATCTGCGATCCGATACAGACTTCCACTCAGACATTGCTTTTCCTCTGGCACCCCAAGCAGCCTCCACCAGCCGAGACACCCAAACACACAAACAAGACGCCCAATTGTAACATTCGATCGTGTTGTGCACACACCACAGGACGCCGTTGTTCTTCAGCCATTATTGCGTGGTCTTCTCTTGCGGCTCTTCAGTCAGTCAAACTTGGCTGGCTGCCTTCTCCTTGCTTGCTTCCCTGGTTGCCTGGTTGATGTGCTTGGGTGTGGAAAATGCGACTGCTGGTGCACTTGCGTTGCTTTCCTTGCTTGCTTGCTTGACTGGCGGTTGTTGCTGAATGGGTTGGTTGCCACATCAAAGACTGGTGACTTGCATTGCTGCAGCGGTGCCACTGACGAACAACTTGTGCCAGTTGTCGGCTTGCAGATGACGTGATTGCATCACGATTGCTGCCATTTATTTGAAGATTCCCAATAAAATTCCGCAACCATGGCGCAAATGCAGCGTGTTGCGTCATTTCACGGCAAATCACGCATGTCATGAGCCTGCGCATTTCACCAAGCAAGCGTGTACACAATTCACACACATACACAATGACACACATATGCACACACACAACATATGCTACGTGCTTGCAGCGTCGTCGTCGTCGTCGTCGTCGTCGTCGTCATGGCCACCACCATCAGCGGAGCGGGCGCGTGTGCGCGGGGTGCGGCCAACCATGAGCAGAAACGCGTGCAAGTGCTGCAGCGTGGGCAGGCGCATGGGTGGTGCGTCCTCCACGGAGAACGTCGCTGGTGGATACGCCTCTGGTAGCTCGTCTTCTCCATCACCGCGCAGTGGCGCCAGGTTGGCCACATATGGACCCCGCAACAAGCCCTAGTGCGATGGTGGTCGCGGGTGGCGGTGATAGTGGTGGTGACGAAAGATGAGCTGCGGTGGTGATGTTGTCGGGGGAGGGGTGCACTGGACATGGAGCGAAGCATGGAAAGGACAACAAGCAGCCACAGTGGCGACAGCAAGCATGCCAATGACCACACATACACACGCACATTTGGTGTCCAGCCGCCGAATGCGATGAAGAAGTGCTTGTAAAGAATGGCCTCACCAGAGAGGTGGGGGTTTGGCAGCATGGTGCGCGTTTGCGCATGGCTGGCCACCGTATTGAACGTGTGGGTTTCTGCATGTGTGTGTGTGTGTGTGTGTGTGTGTGTGTGTGTGTGTGTGTGTGTGTGTGTGTGTGTGTGTGTTATTTTTTTTCTACTTTTTTTGTCTTCATTGTTGTTGGGTGTTTGTTGTCTGGGATTTTTTTTTTTGTTTTTTTTTTTTTTTTTTTTTTTTTTTTTTTT